AGAATATTAGCAATAAGAGTAAGTTAAGCAAAAGTATAAAAGTACCTGAAGGATCCTTGAAATTCACTTTAACTTTAGTTGGTGTGAGCATCTGTACAGTATTTTCTCCTCCTCCACTATTAGGTGTCTCAAAGTAAAACTGAAGTGCAAATGCATTTCCAACAATTTTTTCTTCACTTATACCAGATACAACGATACTGTGATTAACGTCACAAAGATCAACATTCAAATAGTTCCCATGTATTTGCTGTGATGCCAGAATTTCTGCTATTTTCTGGAGTTCTGCTTGTCATGAAAACCATATAAAATAATATTAACTTATTATACTTCTATACCTTCTTTTCCATAATGATGAGAAAGTAACAAAAGTGCTAAAGGTGCCTGTAAGTTTAATGTAAATTCTCTCTCAAATTCTAAATCAAGGCAGCCTTCAATTAAAGCAATCAGAGTTTTCTCTTTCGTTTCTTTTGGAATGTTTTTAATAAGAATTTTGTCCCTCTCATACTTTTTTGAATCTGGGACTGGAGCATAGCAAACATGAATTTGTGATCCTCCAGTAATCATATGCTTTTCCTGAGCAATGACAGCAGCAGCATCTAAAAATAAATGTACTAAGCATCAAACTTATGTATAGATTTAAGTGCATACCATCTACTGATTTGAACTTGACATGCACAGCATTTGTGTCAACTTTTGTAACAGATTCAACTGATTTGGTTCTATTTCCTCCTGATCTCTTTCCCGCAAAATAAAATTTTAGTGTTTCAATATCATCTTCACCAGATACTTTTATAGTGTCCCACTGGAGCTCCAGTTGATCTTTATGAAGCGAGACTGATATAAATGTTTCCTTAATACTGTGATTTTTTTTCAGAAGCTCATCAATATCTATTTAATTTATCATAACGACATAAAATAAAATACAGCTGTTATAATTTATTTAATTTTGGGTCCAAAATAGCTGTCTGTTTTTAATACTAACTAAAGATGAAAGCAATTTAAAATTTCTATGCACTACAGAAAGGAGTAGAAACTAAAAAATTTTGAAGTAAAATTATAAGCAGTGAAAGGCACAGAGACCTGAGATGATGAATGGAAAGGAATGACAGAGATAGAAAAAATTGGACAAAAAAATACTGGTAGGTCAAAATTATGATAGGGAGAAAGGATACAATTGCTATAGAAGAATACAAGCATTGCATATTTCATTTTATAGGTTCTATTATTGTGAGTTTCCCATTTTGAATGATTTAGTCTCACAAAGCTAGAGGGAAGGGTCTGGCCCACAAGACTAATACATAAAAATTGTGCTGTGTGAGCATTTATGCCTTTCTGAACATCATTTTAAGTATGAATGCAATAGAGGGATTGTTTAGTAGTCACCATCTCAATAAATCATGGCTACATGTATGGACACTTGAGATAAAAGATATTTATAGCTTTCTAAAAATAGATTCATTGGTTTACTCCCTATTCCAGGAAATTATATACCTTAGCTGTTTACTTAATAGCATAACTATAGTCAAAACATGTGCATTCATGCATGTACTGCTTAAGCCCAACATATAAATGCACTATAATAAAGACAATCTTGTAAAAGGTTACTGCATTAATTGACCCCAGTACTGGTTTAGTTCTGCCAGGAGTACTAAATCAGGCCAGCAAGAGTACATAATTTTATTGATGCACACTTTGTTGTAACAGCCACATAACCAACTGAACCTTGGGTGCTGTGGGGGACTGGCGTCAGCCCACATGCTGTTTTGATTATACTTCGAATGCTGAGTTAGTTTTGCTGTATAAGTTTGGCATCAGTTGTCTAATTAAATTTTGCCAAAGCAGATTAGCTGTTGGCCTCAATGTGCCTTGGCCAATATAATTAAATTAGCTTGCAGTGCTCAAATAAAAGAATTCAAATGTTGAATTTGATATATCTCTTCATTTTATTGTGGCATAAAATTTGCACTACCCTTTACCACCACTGCAATGAGTATCATTAACAAGTCACAATCTTGTAGCATAGATGATGGACCAGGCAAATTCAAATTGCAGTATTTCCAAGTGAACTGTCCAAGGGAGACCAATTTGTGTGAATCAGAGATATCATTTTATGCTGCTTTAAGTAGTCATGCAGAAGATTGTCATGCTTATTCATAAAAGAATTGCAAAGGTTCATCAAATGGTAATGAGTGCTAGAATGAAATATAGAACACCTAAATTGTTTTGGTAATGTTATGTGAATGGTCAATGTAATCAAGCATAAAACTGTTTTGACTGTACATCTATCCCACAATATGACTGCTCGTTAATGATAAATGTGACGTAGCAGGCGAAAATGGCCCAATTCAGGGCTGTAGCCAGGAACTTAAAATAGGGGGTTCAGAAATTGCTGCGCGCAAAGCGCGCAGCGAAAATTTTGACAAAAATGGGCGTGGTTGATAGGCGTGGTCTTAATTTACGCATCTCAGCCATGTGCTGACTCAGCTAAAATGGCTATCTGTGCTTCTCGCTGTTGCCAAAATGCTAATCCTGCTTTTGCAGTGCTGTTCTTCATGACAGGAGCTAATCTAAAACTTTTTTGCAGCTACAACAGGGGGTTCGTCCGAACCCCCCGAACCCCCCCTGGCTACGGGCCTGCAATTGGAGGCATTGGTTGCTATTAACATATAGTCAGTTTCATTTGAGTTGCCACAGGAAGTAAATCAATGTTTGCATCACAAAACGTCATTCCTAGCCACACCCAAAATGGTGGCAAAGTGCAAGCAAACTCTTTCATTGAGCGTTTCTTCACCTCTAAGACCTTTTGTTGTCTATTTTATCCTTGCTTTGGATACTACTACCTTTCATTATCACTAGCTAGACTTTTTTCTGTTATAAAGCTGACAAAGACCTCCAATACGGAAGATAACAACCTAGGTTGAGGGGAATGAAGAAAAACGGCGATCAAGAAGGCTGTGGACAGGTATAGCAGATGTTTCCCAGTAGTATAGACTGCTAGTTGAATGCCTCCTTCTTTAGAGGACCTTATCTGTCTGCTTTTATTTTATAAAATAAAAAACATTAATTTTCTTAAAATAATAATGAGATGCAAATTATATTCACGAGTGTGATGTAGCGTAAACGTAATGATTCATCATGGCGGCTCCCTTTGAACTAGAGCGGAAGAACCCATTCAGAACCTTCCAGAGTACCTAGAGACTCAAAAATTGGTAAAGATTTTCGGAAGAACCCGTTATGCAACTATACCAAGTTTCAGGTTGCTAGCATTAGTAATAAAAAAGTTATAAGGGGTGGTGCTTGGGCAACTCAACTGAAACCGACTATACAAGACCATAAACATGTAACAATAACTTTGTATCAAAACTTTGTACATAACATGATAACATTTTATTCACTATTATTGTGAGGGTCTATTTGCTAACTAATGATGCAGTGGAAAATGATAACGTTTCAACATTAAACTTACTAATGACATGTTTAAAGGTTGGCTTGACTGATCATGTCATAAGTCATGCATTTTTACATAGGCTGGATAGGAAGTCAGTCTGTCTTACCCACATACACACTGGCACTCAATTGGAATAGCTTATTTTAATAAAAATGGCACTTATCCTTACCTTTTACCATAATTACAGCAACGGCACTATTATTCCCTTGTAACAAGACTTCCTTCACATCGCATTCACACTCATCGCACAAATAATTTCTCACATTGGCAATCGAAGTGTTAACTGGTAAGCCTGACAGCTTAATATGAAACAGTAAGGCCGGTGCCTCTGTAATAATGAAAAGTAAAGAGTTTTGAAATAAACATTGCTCTCACCGTCTTTCTCATCCATCCTTCGCGATAATGAGGCTTATCTCTGTCGATCGACGCTAGCAAGACTCCTCCTCTTTTTGACATTCCGCCGGATGCGACCCGCCTTTTGCTGTAAAAAAATTTACTGTGTGCTCTACTGCTCTGCAATTTTTGTTTTGTAGACCAGAATTTCTAGGCTAATATGAAAAGACCCTCTCTCCAAAAAGATTCAATTAAAGAGGTCAGCTAAATGGCTAGAAGAGAATTCTTTATTTTTAATTTTTTTCCTGATACATACATGTTCCTATGTTGTGCATCAACTTTGAATTAAATCCAATCAAATTTGGATTTTTTATGAATTTTTAAAGTTGCTCAAAAATTGGGCCAACAACCAAAGGCTAGCCCAAAAATGACTAAAACAGAATTCTTTATTTTTATAATTTTTTCTGATACATATACATACATGTTAGTTGCATGGATGCATTCAAACTAATCCAAAGAAGTGTCTGCGAGGTGTGCTGCCATTTTGGTTTTTTGTTGCACCCTGATGTTCCTTCCTATAGTACTTAGGGCTGTGGTATAGCTGTTCCTTCTTTTCATCCTTATAGAATAATCCTAGGCCAAGGACATGTTTTCAGGTTGTCCCTCTCTTGTTGATGTTACAATACCTGACGTAAGTTGCACACCAGGCAGAGGCGTATTAAGGGGGGGGCTGAGGGGGCTTGAGCACCCCCCTCAGGGCTGGGCTCAGAAAAAATTACTGAAGTCCTGGACTCTTGCATCACTACCAAGCCACTTAACAAAGTTATCTAGCCCCCTTATCATGATTTCAGCAGCTTCCAGTGCTTTAAGGAGCAATCAGAAGTACCAGTAACATAGCAGTATGCTTGAAATGATCTTGGCCCCACCCGTAATTGACGAAAATGCAGGAAAAGGTCGTTTTACCGCCGTAAAAGTGAGTGTGGCCAAAATCGCGGCGCGCGCTTCGCGCGCCCTCAGCACCTCCTTCTCCAATTCCTAGATACGCCCCTGCCAGGGGTGGATCTAGGATTTAATTTTTGGGGGCAATTATGAGATGGGTGGAGTAATTAGGGGGTGTGATCAAACATTATCTATGCAGAACTCTATTATCTTTACTCTATTATCTATGGCAGAATAGATATTAGAGTACTACTCTCATTATTACTAATTAAATTATAGTATATTACATTAATTAAAAATTATAGATATTACTCTAATATCTTTGTGCAGAACCTATGCAGGACATAGATTTACTCTAATTTTCCATAGATTTACTCTAATATCTAT